CGCCTCGAGAGGCTTCCCCGGAGGCCCGGGGCTGCAGAGCCAGCGGGGGCTGGAGGAAGGGGGCGGAGGCCCCCGGAAAGGGGCCGGGCCGCTGGGGAAGAGGCGGCGGGAAAGCCGGGGAGGGCAGCGGCGGTGGCGGACAGCCGAAGGGAGCGGGAGGCGGCGGCTGCGGAGGCGGCGGGCCTGGGCGACCCGGGGCGAAGAAGGGCGGCAGAGCCATATCCACGACGGAGGGAGTCTGAGCAGTGACAGAATTTGAGTGGTTCCCCTAGAAAGAGTGTCTTCCGGGGAGGAAGTGACGTAGTACACGCGCGACGCCAATACGACGCGCGGGTCCGAGAGCCCCCGGCGTTTGTGGGCGTTTATTCAGTTCTTCAATTTCTAAATACTGCTCTTATTGAGCATTCTAGGTGCGGAGCCAGATGTATTGCAAACGTTGTAACTAACAGATACAGTTTCCCTCGTGAAACTACCTCTCTAGTAAAGAAACACATTAATCAAGTAATCGTGCAAACAAATGCAGAAGTGCAGCGGCGAATGGAAGTACTACCAAAGAGGAAAACACTGGGCAAGAATAGCTTATAGGAGATAAAGACTTAGTCAAATTAGGAGAGACTGTCCTAAGAATTTCAGCCTTCTGGTAAGTAGGAGATAAATAGAAGAGAGAGAAGCACAGTTCAGATAGGAACAGCATTTGCAAAAACTCTAGTAGATATTTGGTCTAGTCTGGGAACTGAAAGAGTACCAGTATGGAAATGATGTGTTGCTGGGGTCCTGAAGCTAACAGTCAAGAAAGAATTCTTGAGAGGTTCTGGGTGCATAAAAGGTGGTTTCATTAAAGCACAGGGACAGAACCCATGGGCAGAAAGAGCTGCACTGGGATTGGTTATATACTTTTAAGTTGGGGTGGGGGTAGAAAAAAAGGAAATTTCCAAAAGGATTTTCATATGTTAAAGAAGACTTACAGGATCCTGGAGGTCCGGCTATGGTCAAGCTAAGGTTGCTTTTTGCCTCTAGCAAAGCATTAACTTTAAGATAATTGGGAGTTCCTGGAGGAATGTCCTACTCTCCTGTCTCAGGTATTTGTCAATGGGCTGCAAATTGTAAGGAAATTAATTTGATCTACCTTTCCTTTTGCCTTTGTTCTCCATGTCTGATGAAGCCCAGAAAGCCTGGAGGGAGCCTGGGAGGACAGATCATAGCATTCCAGGATCTCCTATCTTAAAAACAATGGGAAATCACTGGAGGGTTTTAAGCTGGAGAGGAAGGAAAGGCCATGCCACAAGATCAGGTATTTAAAATTAAACTATTTTGGGGCGCCTGGGTGGCTCAGTCGTTAAGCGTCTGCCTTCTGCGCCGGTCGTGATCCCGCGGTCCTGGGATCGAGCCCCGCATCGAGCCCCGCATCGAGCCCCGCATCGAGCCCCGCATCGGGCTCCCTGCTCGGCGGGGAACCTGCTTCTCCCTCTTCCACTCCCCCTGCTTGTGTTCCCTCTCTCACTGTGTCTCTCTCTGTCAAATAAATAAAATCTTTAAAAAAATAAAATTAAACTATTTTGAGATAATTGTAGATTCATGTGCAGTTGTAAGACATAATACAGGGAGATCTTGTGTACTTTTCACCCAGTTTCTCCCAATGGAAATATCTTGCAAAAGTGTAGTACAATATTACAACTGAGACACTGACATTGATATAGTCAAGAAACAGCATTTCCCTATCATTGCTTCCAGGATCCCTTTATAGCCACACCCACTTCCCTTCCTTAACCTCTGGCAACAACTAACCTGTACTCCTTTATATAACTTAGTCCTTTCAAGAATGTTATATAGGGGCGCCTGGGCGGCTCAGTCGGTTAAGCGGCTGCCTTCCGCTCAGGTCTTGATCCCAGGGTCCTGGGATCGAGCCCCGCATCGCATCGGGCTGCTTGCTCAGCGGGAAGCCTACTTCTCCCTCTCCCTCTGGCTGCCTGCCACTTCCCCTGCTTATGCTCTCTCTCCATCTCTGTCTCTCTGTCAGATAAAAAGTAAAATCTTAAAAAAAAAAAAAATGGGGGCACCTGGGTGGCTCAGATGGTTGAGTGTCTGCCTTCGGCTCAGGTCATCATCCCAGGGTCCTGGGATCGAGTCCCGCATCGGGCTCCCTGCTGGGCAGGGAGCCTGCTTCTCCCTCTGCCTCTGCCTCTCTCTCTCTCTCTCTCTCTGACTCTCATGAATAAATAAATAAAACATTTTTTAAAAATGTTATATAAGTGGAAACATACAGTACATAACCTTTTGGGATTCTATTTTTACTCAGCATAATTCTCTGAAGATTCATTCAGGTTGCATCAATAGTGTTCCTTTTTATTGCAATAGAAGTATGCAAAGAAGGTGTGAATGAAATGAAACCACATTTTAAAACCATTCACATATTGAAGGATATTTGGGTTGTTTACACTTTGGGGTTATCATGAATAAAGCTGCTCTAAACATTTGTATACAGGTTTTTATGTGAACATAAATCTCCATTTCTTTGGGATAAATGCCCAGGAGTGCAATTGCAGGGTCATATTGTTGCAGAATTTTTTCTCTCTTGGTGGCTTGTGGTTCTTGGTCGCGCTGCTGATGCAGTTTTGGAATATAGGTGAGGTTCAGTGGGGTGGAGTACGGAGCCGATGACCAAGAAAGAATTCTTGAGGCGTCTTTGGTGCAAAATGGTGGTTTATTAAAGCATGGAGACAGGACCTGTGGGCAGAAAGAGCTGCTGCCCTGTGGTCTTGAGGAGTGGCTGATTATATACTCAGGAATTGGGGAGGTGAGGACAAAGGGGGTGTCCAGAAGGACTGTCATATGCTAAAGACTCAGGATACTGGAGGCCTGGTTATGTTTCCTGGAGGAATGTTACATTCCTCCTATCACATGTCCTTGTCAATGGGCTTCAGGTTCAAAAGAAATTGAATTTTATTTACATTTCCTTCTACCTCAGCCTCCCTTGATTTTATGGAGGGGAGGGTGATGTTAGGGCTTCAGGAAACGGAGTTACGAGTCTCTGGAAGTTAGGCTATTGATAAGAAAGCTTCTTTCTTGTAAATCACTAGGACATTTGTAAACTGAGGGAGACTCCTGTCCCGCAGGACTGTGATCTCTATCAGTTAACCATTTGTTTTTCCTTTAGGGCAGCCAGGAGTGCCTGAGGAATGTCACATATATCCCAAGGAGGGGGGGGGGGCGGGGTGTAGGGTGCCAGCTTCGGCTTTTTCCTCAGCTTGCCTTCTGTTCCCTCATCACAGCTTCAAAGAATGAAGAGGTAGACCAGACAGTGGTGGGCAGCAAAGCAAGGTTTATTGAGAGATAGCAAAGTAATAGCACAAAACTCCCAAGGAGGAAGGGGACCTAAGAGGGTTGCCACTGGAGTTTCTAAGTCTAGGGGGATTTTGTGGGCTTTGTTGACAGGCGGTTTTAATCTGATTAACCTTCCCTGTGCCTGTCATCCAATCAGGTTTTTGTCACCTATCATATAGGAAAAGGTGGAGGGCTCCTTTTTAAGGGTGGTTTCCTTTTGGCAGGGGGGGGGGCCTCATCCCTGCCTTCCAATTATCCTTCATGTTTAGTTTGGTTTTTTTTTTTTTTTTAAGATTTTATTTGACAGAGAGAGGGAACACAAGCAGGGGGAGTGGGTGAGGGAGAAGCAGGCTTCCTGCGGAGCAGGGAGCCCGATGCGGGGCTTGAGCCCAGGACCCTGGGACCATGACCTGAGCCGAAGGCAGACGCTTAATGACTGAGCCACCCAGGCACCCGTTTTTGCTTTTAAATAGAACATAAGTTCTTAATTTTAATGAAGTCCAACTTAGCAGTGTTTCCTTTTATGGATCATGCTTTTGGAGTCAGATCAAGAACTCTTAGCTCTACATCCTGAAAATTTTCTCCTGTGCTTTTTCTAAAAGTTTTGTAGGTTTACATTTAACTCTGTGATCCATTTTGAGTTAATTTTTGTATAAGGTGTGAAACTTAGGTTGAGGTTCTCCCCCACCCTCCCCACTTTGGATGTCCAATTGCTGCAGCATCACATTAGATCTTTACTTCTCAAAGCAATAATAGAGGACCCCTTGGGTAAGAGTCCATATCTATACTGATGAGGATCAGAAGGCAAGCTGAGGACAAAGCACAACTGACACCCCACAAACACAACCCCCCCACTCCCAGGTGGGATTTGTGTGACATTCCTCAGGCACTCCTGGCTGCCCTAAAACTAATGGAAGGGAAAAACAAATGGCTAACTAATAGAGACCACAGTCCTGCAAGACATGGTTCTCTTATCAGTTTACCAATGTCTTAGTGAGTTACAAGGAAAAAGCATTCTTATTATTAGCTTAACTTTTGGAAACCCACACTCAATTTCCTGGAGCCCTAACATCACCCTCCCCTCCATAGTGATGTAGAAAACAAAGGTAGAAGGGAATGTAAATAAAATGAAATTTCCTTATAACCTGAAGCCCACTGACAAATACTTGAGGCAGGCAGAGTATATAACATTCCTCCAGGAAACTGCCAACTATCTTTTTATTTTTTTATTAACAGATAATGTATTATTTGTTTTAGGGGTACAGGTCTGTGATTCATCAGCCTTACACAATTTACAGAGCTCACTATACCACATACCCTCCCCGGTATCCATCACCCAGCCACCCCATCCCTTCCACCCCCCTCCACTCCAGCAACCCTCAATTTGTTTCCTAAGAGTCTCTTATGGTTTGTCTCCCTCTCTGGTTTTGTCGTTTCATTTTTTCCTCTCTTCGCCTATGATCCTCTGGCTTTTTCTCAAATTCCACATAACAGTGAGATCATATGATAATTGTTTTTTTAATTATTTTGCTTAGCATAATACCCTCTAGTTCCATCCATGTCGTTGCAAATGGCAAGATTTCATTTTTTGATGGCTGCATAATATTCCATTGTGTGTGTGTGTGTATCATCTTTATCCATTCATCTGTCGATGGACATCTATCTAGACTCTTTCCATAGTTTGGCTGTTATGGACATTGCTGCTATAAACACTGGGGTGCACATGCCCCTTCGGATCACTTCATTTTTATCTTTGGGGTAAATACCCAGTAGTGCAATTGCTGGGTTGTAGGGTAGCTCTATTTTCAACTTTTTGAGAAACCTCCATACTGTTTTCCAGAGTGGCTGCACCAGCTTGCATTCCCACCAAGTTTCTCCGCATCCTTGCCAACATCTATC